TAAAAGAGCACAGAAAAGCAGGGCGGGTGACGAATCTGCTTTAATTTTTAGTGGTCCATGAAAATAAGGTGATATCCCCAATAAGTTTTTGGTTTTTTGTCCAAAATATAACAATTATCTGCAAAAATTCACCAAAAATTTCGGTAACTTCTTCATATGAAAAAGTTATATTTTTTTTTCACCAATCAAGTGACTTTTGATTCGCTTAATGACACAGCAATTGTCTTAAAAATATAATTTAACGTTGAAAACAATGATTTGAATTTATGTTTTGTTATGAGTTCATTAACGTCAAATAGAATTTTTGATGAACATGTTGAAGTCTAAAGTCTATCCATTTACCTTTTAGTATGTTTGTTTATTAATATACAAATATGTATACACAATGATAAACAACGGCTGTTTTTGAAGGTTGTAAGTTATTGCATAAAATAATAACGTTATACAATAATAATAACGAACTTTGAGTGAAAATAAGATATCCACCAAGAGGCTAATATCCGATAAGAGTATTGATTACTTTTTAATTGATTTGTTGATATTTGTTTTCTTATTTAATTCGATTACAAGTTAATGAAATATTCAAAGAAACTTACAGTATCACTTTAGCAGCTAATATTATTACAGGTAAAAACGTTAAGTGTGTAATAATTAACGTAGAAATTATTTTTAAATATTTCTAATAGAAATATTTTGCATATACAATGTCGCAGTATTAGAGTATATATAAAAATTATAAACACTTAATATTTCAATGGCGTCACGTGTTGCCCAATCTGAGCTTTACGTAACTATTTGTGTACATTTGACAATGAAGTTTTAATTTATACACCGATTTCCTAATATATTTTTCATTAAAAAAAAACATCAAGTTTACTAAACATTTTGAGTTCCGACAGTTTTATTAGATTAGTTAAAAATGCACTTGTTGGTAATGCTGTATTTTATTAAATCCGATTTAATTAAACACAAAATTAAATTAATTACTATATTTGACTTTGTGTTTTATTAAGTATAAAGTGATAAAAAAAAAAACATTTCTATAAGTTTAATAAACTTATAGCTACACAACAACTCAATAAAAACATGTGTTTCCCTAGTGATATATTTGCAAGGATGTTACTTTAAAAATAATTTGTTAAATTTTGTTTACTTTATTTTTTATTTAAAGAGTACAAAAATTAAACCAAATATACTAAAGACATTCAATTTTAACAATTCTGTTTTGTTTCTAAACAGTATTTGAGTACAATATCACAATAAAATTATCAATATTTCCTATTTTAATTGATGTTTTAAATATAACTATCTTGTAATTAATTGACGTCAGCAATTTTTTGTTTGCAATATATGCATGAAAGAAAGAGAATGTTTATGAGAAATATTTTTCTACTTTGTTTTCACATAAATATTGTATTTTCACCACACAAATATTTTTATCCTTAGAAATGTAGTGAATTTGTAAAATCACGCGTGTAATTAAGATCGAATTTGTTGTAATATATTTCTCATTAATAAATTAATAATATAGTTAAACTCAAACATATATTTTTTAGCAATTCTCAGAATAATTTTTATTTTAATTTTTTTATAATCGAATAACTTAAAAAAAATGCTTCCATTACAATATGTACTTAATTTGCGTGTTAAAATGGCATACAACTGTTTTAATACATGAATAATGTTAGTACATTATATATTAAAAGTAATTGCATACATGAATAACTTTAAATGAATTTATATGATTTATATTGGATAAAAGCATTGTGAAAAAATATTTTCAATGTCATTTATTAAAAAACAACACAAGTTCCTGTACAAATTTATGTTCAATTGAATTTCGAATGATATGATTCATATATATATTATAAAATTATGTATTTATCATACTAATTTATACGTTATGTATTTCGTAACTTGCTCATGATTTCAATTTCATAGATCATTCAATGTAAAATACAAATGTTGTACAGTCTTTGAACAAAATTTAATACATTTTAATTACAAAAATTTGGTATCATTTTATTATAATCTTTTGGAATTTTCAAATGTCCTATTGAATATTGTGCTAAAGTTGTGATGATTATTAATAATCAATTTAGTAGTTCATATACGGTGTATGTAAACCTGTGACATCATTTACTAGGGAGTAGTGTGGGTATTTGCTTCCCCTTGAAAAATGCGCGCTGTTAATGCTATTAGAAGCTATCTATAAGGGGAATCTATAGATTGTAAAATTAAATATGACGCAACAAATATTGAACTTGAAACAAATGTTGAATCAGCAGCAAAATTTTTCATAAAACTCATCTAAGTGTTCTAAATTGCAGGAAATTATTTGTTTTCTTTTGATTTAATATGTCATTCAAGTGTATCGAATTATAAAATGTTCAACTCAAAAGTTAACTTATATTCACTTTATTTTGACCATGAAAAGTGCTTTCGAGCCTTAATAATTTTTATCGGTTAATTTTTACTGTAGTTTAGTATATTTTTTACTTAACCTCTCCCACCTAAGTATAGTGTGTATTGTTTAAATTTAAATATTACTGCAAAAGATTTAAAAAAGTTAAAAAAAAAAAGAAATCTTGTTAGGCTCGTGTAAATTTATTCCAAGAATGAAAATTGAATACTATTAAGTGCTACATAAGTAGTCTTAATGTTTTTTTTACATTCTCCCATATACGCTTAACGAAATTCACTAGATTGGACTAGAATAACATTAATAACAGAATTACGAATTTTAAATTAATGTAAGAATTTTTAAAATTTAACTTTCATTTAATAATCTGTGATAAATATCATTCACATGCAAAACCTATTCAACAATTTTCATCGGAAAAGTCTTTAAACGGTTTAAAATTCTTAGATATCAATATAATACAAATTATACTTAATACAAACAGAGTTGAATTGTGATGTTTATTTTGAATATATTATATTTTCAAGACTCCCTCCCTAGAAAAATATTGAAAATATCACATTATAGGGGTTAGTAAAGCTAGTTGTTGCAGGAGAAACTTGTTACAATTGAGATATTTTTGCATTAAATTGTAATAACACTGACCAGTCAGTAATATGATTTCATAAGTAAATTTATGCTTCAAATATTATGCAAAAGTATTAATAATATCAAAATTTGTTTGCGTTTTTATGTTTTGTATGTTTTTTGTAAATAATAAGTAAAATACTAATAGTAGTAATAAGTAGATATTTTAATTTTTTTGTGCGACTAATGTTATAAAGTGAAATATTTTTGATTTAAAATATTTGTTCATTAGGCAGTAGTATTTTATTTTCTATTTTGAAGTCACAAAATAATGTTTTTTTGCGTGATAACGTTGTATACAAAAAATGTCTGTATGGGGCAATTTATTACAATATATAGTTGAATATATTGTTTCATTAGATGAATGTAAGTCGTATCTTATATCGTGTTAAAAATTATGAGTTATGTATAACCATAAATGTGTTTTATTAAAATTACAATTTTTGTAATTCAAAAATAAATAGGGTATTTCTTTTGCTCACATATAATAACAAGTACTGAATTGGTGAATTGGAAAATGGTGAAATCCTATAAATATTTGTCTAGTTAAAAAAAAAAACCTCATAAAATAAATATAGTTAAAAATACACTCTATCATCTATAAAATACTTTACAAATAAATCAGGTAATACACAAACAAAACAAAGTTATAAAACAAATTATTTCGTTAAAAAAAAAAATAATAATAAAAACATTAAATTACTTTCCTGTAAAATTTAGTTTCTGGAAATTATAACTTTCGGCTTCTAAGGCAATAATATTTACTTAGCATGAAAAAATTAATTTTTTAATAAATTTAATAAAACATCAACATACCCCCTATAACTCATAAAGATTTGTAAATTTGAGATAAATAAACCTTACAATATGAAATAGCGTAAAAATAACAACGAGAATCATTCATTGTTATAATGTACAATGTGTTTATTGTAATTCAATTTGTAGTTTTATTGTAAAAAAAAATCTTCTTTAAAAGCTTTCCAAAAATTTAGTATTACTTATTTTAGTCTAATTTTGAATAAAGAACGACATAACTAAAAAAATTGGAGATCGCATCTATGTACAAACAATAATTAAGTAACAAGTTTCGAGTGTAATGTTTATTTATTATTAGTATCGTGTACAATACGGTTTTAATATTGTCTAATATTTATTTCTCTGTATTGCCCAAGTGTTAATTTGGTTGGGGATGGTTGGTAGTAAACATAGTGTAACCTGACACGCAATTTTCGGCCTATTTCGCGGTTTTGTGCAATGTTCTTTATAATAATGGAAAATAACTGTCTGGTAGTCAATTATTGTGCTGTAATAATATACATAGAATGCCATGTAGATGGTGAAATTGAAACCAACGTTTGAACCTTATAATAAAAGTAAAGTTAACATCCGAAGGGCTGTAGAACTTTCGTTTGATTATTTCTTATAATCGTGTCATGTTTACTTAAATATTTATAAATATTTTTGCTGTCAGCAATCAACAACATTGGTAGTTCAAACGAGAGTTTTATATACAATACAATATAATTATAATATCGAATAGTCGGCATAAAAAATAACGATTGGTTAACTACAAGACATGACCTTTCATGCGAAGACTTTGTTGATGTTAAAGTGTATTCTGTAAATAATAAATTTCAATTTTGAACTTCACTGACCATTAAAAAAAAAAAAAACAAGGTAAAAAAAAAAATAAAACCTTACTCACCCACGCAGTTACTTTTTACCCGGTCGACCTGTTTAATGTGACTATATACACACAATATAATAAAACAACATTAATCAGTTTGCGTGTTTAGGAGGTGATTTTAGAAAGAGAAAGAAAAAAACTAAATAAGTTCCGAGTAACGCGTTGTTGATAGGCGTGCGCAGTGTTTTATGCATATTTAAGTTAGCTAGGCATGCGACCAACATACTTGTAATCATGAGAAGTTGACTACCATTCGCTGTTTAGGCGCTGCTCGGTAAGGAAGACCATGGCCATTACCACATGTGTGCTTCAACTCATCCGAAGTTGGGTAACTTTGTTGATATTGTTGTCACCAATAGTCGGTGCTGCCGTCGTTGAATCTCACACATTAAACCATCAACAGCCCAGTTTTTATTCTGCACTAGTATCATCTTCCGTGAGTAGTAGAATTAAAAGATGGTCGACCACGTTCGGTAGCACTATTTCTAAAAATATGTCGAGTAAGTTTAAATTTTTGTTAACTAAACTAAAAGAAAGAAAAAGATTTGTGCATTAATCTAGGATGAAAAGTAAATTCAGTTTAATGCTTAATTTTCATTTATAAAGTACTCGTACAAACAAAACAATTTTCTTTTAAAATATCAAGTATTACTATGCAAAATATCAATATTTGTTATCCATATAATACGAAAAAAATGTAATCGAATTCGTGCTTGACTAGTAATAAGAAAACAATATGTATTATACTTATATTGTATGAAGTGGTCAAAAAGGAAAAAAATTGCTAACGATAGTTTCTCACGCTATCTAAGAGCTGACGGTTTAACGCCTTCATCGAGCACGTAAGAAAATATGTACAAATCAGATTTTGTACTTTTATAATTGCATAATAACGTGCTACTGCGAATCGGTAAATGTTGTTCCGAATGATGAAAAATGTACAAAACTAAAATAAAATTATAGAAAAAAAAAATATGGAGTATTTTATTGGATTAAATCTTTATTTCAAAATTTCAAAGTGTTTTATATCTTTATGTATAAAGTAAAAAATCCTTTTATTTTATTAAATAATCAGCTCAATTATAATACAATAATTATTAGTTTTCAGAAATAACGGAAAACTTAGAACGATATAATTTTAATTAATTGAAAGACAGCTATGTGCTAAGATAACTTATCATGTCTCTATATTTATTGAAATTTACTTTTATAAAATTTATTTTTTTGATAAACATGGACTGATTGAAAATGAAATAAAAAGATTTGTTTGATGTTGATTCATTTGAGTCATAGTTGATATTAAAAATGTAGAATTGATCACCAGCAAGCTGTAAAGTCTTCCTGTATTTTAAGAAGTTACTTTTGCAAATGTTTTATGGTAGCATAATTATCTATCAAAATAAATAAAATAATGATTTCAGGGGCAAAAAATTCTTTTTTATATTTTCCCCTCAATATCTTTCACTGTTATTTTATCACTGGTATTTTATCAACGATATGGGTAGGGGAGGCGGCGCACACATTAATTCTTTATAAAAAAAGATCCTTGAATATTATCTCTGGATAAATTTTATCTTAATTTATCCAAAAGCGAGTTTTTGATATTGTTAACTTCTATAAATAAAACTTATAATCAATTAATTTTATATAAATTACAGTAGCGTACTGCCAACAGAATTATCTATATATTAATGATCCCATTTAATAATTTTACGGTACAGATATTTAGTATGCGTTTGATAAGTTATCAACGTTAGATTTGTGTGTTCAATAATATTCATACAACTTAGAGTCAGTCCTAGAAAAAAATAATTTATTTTGTAGAAAAGGAAATAAAAAACCCAGCATAGCTAAAATTAGTCCTTACTCATTAAGATTTAGCACCTCATATTTATAGATAATATAAAATACATTATATTTTATTCTAACTTCACTGTGATAATTTTATATTTATTGGTATTTAATAGAAAATAAAATATAAATAAGGATATTATTATTATTTTGTAAGTAATTTTGTGGGTGGGAATAGACGAATCATGTATAAAATAAGAACTACATAATAAAATTATTTAGTATTTTTTATTGTTCATATTGCTTATTATGAAATATTTAATACAACTAAATAATGTAATTATGTAGTTTTTATATTACATGCGATTCGTCTATTTCATTCGCTCAATTACTTACAGAATAAAAGTAATACCGGAAATGTTTATTTGGCCTTTCAGATGTACTTTTACAAATACATTTCTTATTTTAGCTTCGATGCGAAGCTGAGAAGGTATTCATTTTACTATGATGTGTTTTTGCTATGAAGGAGTCAATAATATTTTTTATATATTTTTTTAATGGCAACATATATTATTAACTAAATTATAAAATAGTAAATATATACAAAAAATACGTGAGATACAGATTATAATTATTTTTATCATTTTTATACGCTTACGAAAGGATACCGAAAAAAATTTAATAATATGTTTTGTACTAGTATGTTTTAAGAAATAAAAAACTATTATACCCCTTATATTGTATAAAAATAATATAGAGAAATTGAAAACATATCTTATCACAATGAAATCAGTATACAAGTGGCTCAGATATTACTGACAACATTTATAACTTTTGAGTTTAAGAGAAAAAATATTACTTCACTGAAATTTTTTTTAATTAGTTATTTCCTTCTTAAACTACGTTAAGTACATATTTTTTCTTATTAGTGACTAATCAAAAATATTCTTTGAATATGTATTATAAATTCATAATTATTTTTAAAACAATTCAATGAAATAATAGTTGGATTAAAATTTATAAGCGTGACAACACTTATAAATGTTATGTATTTGTTTTAATGCTCATAAAAGTAACCTGTGCAAAACGTGAGACTGATATGATAAGGTGTTGCATGGTCTCTGAAGTTTAGTAAAATAGTTATAAAAAAAAAAAAAATTATATTAAAAATATTTAAATTTAATTAATTGGGGTTTATTTCAGAAATAAAAAGAACTATAAAGAATCTTAGAACAGATTTGAAGTTGGCTTGAAAAATTGGTTAAACCAACATATAGTACCATTTTTTGAAATCATCATAATATTTTCAGTTAGTGAGTTGAATAATAGTATCCGTAAGTTAAACATAAAAAGAAAACTTATGAAATAATTTTTTTTTTATAGCTGTTTTACTCAACTTCAAAAGCCCTGAAACATCTATTAATTTTGTTATATCAGTCTCAATTTTTGCATAGCTTTTTTTTATTAGAATTAATATAAATTCAGGGATCCCAGTATAAAAATTAAAGAAATAATTTTGATGATTCGTCCTATATTATATACACATATTGAAATACTAATTACATCAATAGTTTTAATGAAATATTTTTATAGATCCTGTGTCAATTCGAGATTGTACAACAGATTCAGACTGTCTAGATACGCCTTATACTTCTTGCGCAGTCGACTTTAGTGACAGAAAAAGAAGATGTCTTTGTGCAGACGGAAAACAACCTCAAAACGGCGAATGCTTAAAGAAACCTAGAGGTATGCACACAGTGGGATTGGGTTTATATATACTTTAATACATTTTGTGTGATAAAATTATAAAATCGTAGGCCATCAGAAATCTTTTCTGTCGGTCGTAGGTATTAGATATACATTAGAGGTAATTTTTTTTTGAAAATGAAAACTATTTAATAAAAAAAAAAAAATTGTCTTTTACAGAAATGGGATAGATTATTTGTAGTGGAGAGATTTTAAACCATTTTTGTTATATTATCTTTATTTCTTTTTTTTTTTTGATATAGTCGGTTTTATCACGAAAAACATGGCTATTTTTAATAGAATTTGTGATATATATTTATTATTTAACCATTATTTGTATTTTGTATTTGTGATATTTCACCATTAAGTTCAGTGATTGTCTTGTGTTGTCCGAAAAAATTAATTAAGTTCATAATTGATTATTTTTATTCACTAACTTTTTGCCAGGGCCTCTTTTTGTTCCAGCATTAAGGGCTTCGTGTGAAACAGACTTAGAGTGTTTACCAAATGCAATTTGTTTGCAAAATGGAACTGCAGCTAATCCCAGGTTAAAGATATGTACATGTAAGGAAGGATTCATCGAAGAAAACGAGGCTTGCAATTGTAATTTATTTATCAATTAAACGTTATATAAACTATTGAATATCAAGTAAAGTGATAAGTAGTGTTGAAGAGTCAAGATAAATTAATAACTTTTAGAAAAAATATTATGACTTTAGAAAAATATAATGTATGACTGAAAAGGTTATAAAAAACTTGAAATATTTAAACTTAAAATAAATAAAATACATCATCTATAATGAAAATTAAAAAGATAAAATGCTGTTTGGAATATTTGTTATTAAATTAATTATAAAAAAAAATGTTGTTAAATATCAATTAGTTTAATTAATTAAACATTTTTTAATAGATCATTTGTCTTTTGTTAAAATAACCGTGTTAAAATTGCGTGACTTCGTGAAGTTTAGTTACGGTTGACCAACGAAATGTTGTTGTAGAAAAAACAAAATGAATATTTTTAACCTTTTACAATTATCGTCTATTGAATGACAAGTTAATAGCTTTTTGATACGTAGTAATGGTACAAAAAAAAAAAACTTATTTCGATCAACTTTAATAAACTGTCTTTTTTCTTGACATGGTGTTATTATTTATTTATAACAAAATGTCAATCTATTCACTTGCGTTTTAGTAAATACATTTCAATATTTTAGTATAACTAATTTTTAGTCAATGCGTAGTGACAAAAATTTCTTTAAATTCTGAAACTAGACACTTTTATTCTTTTAATGGTTACAATTTAATTTTAATATTAGAGTTTTATCTTAGATTTTAATTTAGATTTGGTACAAAAGAAATTTTTGGCATGAAATAAGTCTGCATAAAAGTTTTTTTTTCAAAATAGCAACTAGAATGTAAATCACAGTAATATTTTATAAGAAACAAAATATTTAGAAAAAATATTATAGATAAAGTTTTAATTAAAGGTAAAAATTAACAGTATAAAGTAAATTTTACATAGGTCAAAGGCAAGAAATAATAATTTTGATGTAGAAGTTGCATATATTTTTAAATTGTATAAATCTCTAAAAATTATTGTTACACAAAATTTTACTTTTTTTCAAAATAATTTTTATTAAATTAAAAAAAATATAATTGAATAATTCGGTAAACATTATTCTATATATTTTTATTCGTGGTATACTTTCTAATTTTAACAATTTCTATAAATGGTATGTATATAACCTTTTTGTGTAATATAGTAAAAATATATTGTCTTAATAAAAATGACTGTATATTTTGATATTGTAATACGAGCAGTAGATCCAGATAATTTTTGAGAAAATCGATTTATTTATATCTCATTTAAATATTTTTACTAATAAAAATCTTAGTATAGAATTATTAAAAATTGTATTGTTATTTAGATGCTAACATTATGAAATTCAACTATGCTGCTATTCTGATGGCGATTCTCACTTCATGGTTTTGGAATGATCGCTTAGGATAATATCATGTTCTTTGTAACAATATTCGCACACATATCAATCAAATTAAAAAAACACATTTTATATATTTAACACATAATTTAAGTAACCAAGACATCTGCTAATGATTGAATGAATTTATTGTTTGTCTTCACTTATGTAAAACGCGCAAGCTTAAAAATATGTTTATAAAAATTTTATTTATATATTAAAAAAAATGTTCATATAAAATTAAATATTTAAATATTTAAATATTTTATAAATATTTTTTCAACTATATTATGTTGTAAAAAAATTTTGAAATTTTTTCTTATGATCGAAAGAAATCTTAAAATGACTAATATTGTTTACTTGTTATGAATAATGAATTTTAATACAAGTGTGTTACTGTATATTGTATGTAGATACTTGAGTACCTAGTAACTTTATGAGATAATATTGTATTGTAATGTACTACTATTATTATCATAGGAATAAATTATGTATTGAAGAAATTAAAGACATTCGTTGAGACATGCATTTTTATTGGAATGAGTAAATTTTTTACCTTAAAATAAATCAAACAATTTAAACATGTTTTTTAGAATTATTAATATTAGGAGCCATTCGGGGCCTATTATAAAAAAAAAAAATTATAACATTCTTTATTAGTTATCATGCAAACTTGTAAAAGCATTCTTTAATAAATAATAAAACTAAATTTCACATTTATTTATCATATTAGAAATTTTATCAGGAAAAAAATTCCTTTTTTTAAATTACCAAATTAACACAACAATAATAGTAACAAATTATTTTTTTGTTATTACATATTTAATTACTTAATGTTAAGGAAAAATAAAAATTGAGCTCTGATAAAATTAAATTCATTATGTTGCATTATTTTGATATTTATCTATTTAAAATTTTTGTGTATTTAATTTATTCTAAATTGAGCTACTACTTTTTGGTCTATTGATGGACCTAAAAAAATATTTTATCACTTAAAAATTGAGAAGAAGTACAATATTTATAAAAATAAAAAAAAAATTCCTTAAAATGATTATTATTTTAGAAGAAAATTATTGTTTAACGATAAATAATTTACTATGTTTAGGTTATATCTTTAAATACACCTATCGTTATAAGTTAATAATTCTTGAACATTTTAGAATTAAATTTTAAATGTGAGGTTGGTTTGTTTCAGACTATCTCGCACTCAGGTTTTCCATTAGATTTTATAAAAAAAATCATACCAAAAGTAATTTTTTTTCTCTAATATACTCTATTAAAGTTTTATTTGGATCAGTTAAAAAAAAAATGTTTTACCAGTTTTATAATGTAGAAAAAAATAATTGAAAATACATTTTTTTACGGTAATTAAATTTGAGATAATTTTTCAAATTTCTAAAATTGAGAGGTTTTTTAAAAATAATTTGGTGCTGTTTGTACAACTGTATTATAATCAGATTATTTAGACGTAATGATCATTAAAATCGGTTCAGTGAGAATTGAGAATTTTCATGGTCAGACATAATAAACATACCATCACAAATCCAATACTTTTTTAGCTTCGTATCAAAGCTAAAATTTCAACTCACCATTAATATTATTATTTTTCATTTTTAGTCAAATTTTTGTTATCAATCAATATATTTCGACATTTTAGCCAAGAAAACGATCTGAGTTACCATTGTGTATAAAATAGCATCCACATTTTAATAACAAGTTTAAATTGTATTATTTAGGATCGATAGATCACATATTATGAAGAATTTATTATTGAATACATCATGTTAGTAAGACATTATTTATATAATAATTTAAACTATTGTAAATACATTTATTATATTTTTAAAATGCTATTAAAGTAGATTTTGATAAATACTTCTACTGTTTGAATATAGTCAAATATGTCGTTAATATAAATAATTTAAATAGAGTAGTATTATTTTTGTAGCACTAATTGCAATTTGTTTTATGTTACTAATTTGCTAATAAAAATATACTCCTCGTGATTCATTATTACTAATTAGCAAATATATTCTATGAATGTATTATAGCTTTCGTGGATTTTCGTATTGCTATAAATATTTAACTTAAATGATTTTAAACATCACAAGTTTAGTTGATATGTATCACAATTGTCTAGAAGAAATTTGATTAAAATTTTACGGATATATTAACGTTTTCAGATATGAGAGGCGTTTCGGACACGTTGCAGGGTCCATTTTCAGGGCGATAGTGACATACTCGTGGTTGTAACTATACTGTTGGTTTACCTTGTTTACGGTTTGTTTTTATATAAGTTTATTTTTACTATGATGTGTTTTTTTATTTTTTTTTTTTGTGTCTGTGAACGCTCAATCTCAGCTCTCGCTGGACCGATTTTGATGAACAATATGTCAAAAGATCACAAATCGTATCTAGTCGAAGACATTACCCTCAAAAATTGAAAAAAATTCCCTCGTTCCCCGTAAACGGGGGAAATCCCCCAAAAAATTACAAATTTAAAAATCGCTAATTTTCGATATTTTTTCAATTTTTTTTACTTAAAATTGCCATAACTTTTTTAAAAATGACCAAATCAATATAATTTTTTTTTTTATAGATACCTTAGATATTTACCTATCATTTTCTATATTTTTGTAAACATTTGACCCTTTAACAGCCCACAGGAGGGGTTTCAAAATGGTAACTTTTTTAACAAAAAATTAACTTTTTCAACTTAACTTTTGAAAATGTTCCGGAAAGACTGACACTTTTATATATATCTTAAATTAAAGCTATTGTAATATACTTAAATTTGAAAAAAAAAATTTGTCCTCTGGACTTGTCTTCAAGGTGAAAATGACTACCGTATGCAAAAATATGCTATTTTTTTTGATAAAATACTTGATAANTGCAAAAATATGCTATTTTTGTGAAAAAATTCTTGATATTATATTTTACATTTTTTAACATTATGTTGCTATAACTTTTTAAAAAATGCATGAATCAACTTTATTCTTTAATGATAAATACTTTATATATACTTCTTTCATTCGACATACTTTTTTTTTAAATCGGACCTTTTCCCTTTATACAGGGGGGGTGCAAACCTTTTAAAATGCGTATAGAGTGTAGATCTTTTTCAACATAACTTTTGAAAATGTTCCGGAAAGACTGACACTTTTATATATATTAAATTAAAGCTTATGTAATATACTTTAATTTGAAAAAAAAAAAATTTGACCTCTGGATTTGTCTTCATGGTAAAAATGACTACCGTATTCAAAAATTTGCTATTTTTGTGTTAAAATTCTGGGTTTTGTATTTTATTTTATTTTAAAATAAATGACAAGGGGAGTACAGATTTTCATAAATATTATATAAATTAAAAGTAATATAGCACAGAAAGTTAAACTTATTTAATTTTGTTTGCTTCTTTTAAGTCGAGAAAAATAACTTTGAAATTTGATTTAGCTTAAATAGCCAATTTTTTAATTGACAACATACGGTTGCCGAGTTGGTATAACTTATATTTTACACGCTTGGGGTACGAGGTCCCAACCCGCGTATGGCAAAGAATTTTTTGCATTTTTTCTTAATTCTTTTAAGTAAGAATAAATTTTCAATTGCTTTGATTTTTATCTCAATTAGATTCAATAACGTCAATAAAGATCTAGGATCCCATAATTTTAGTCGCCCCTTGTAAGAAGAAATTTCTTATTCGTATTAAAATTATTTTACTATATTTTAAGTTTTAGCTTCGATGCAAAGCAGAGAAGATGTTTTTTTGTGAATATCATTTATTTTCTCTGCTCTAACTTGACCTACTTTTTTCAACGATATGTCAAATGTTTACAATTAGTTACCCTCAAAAATTGAAAAAAAAATTCTAATTTATCAATGAAACAGTTACTTATCCTATGTTCACAATGCAGACAATTAAAATCATTCATTTCTAATGTTTTCAAAGTATTTATTGACANTCCATAAAGACAATTAAAATCATTAATTTCTAATGTTTTCAAAATTCAAGTTTGATATGATAATTTAATATGATAGGTTTCAACTACAAAATTAAATCATTTTACTTTGTAATTTAATAATTTTTTACTCTATTTGTGTGTGCAACTACTAGACTATAATACTCAAAATTTTTTTGTAACATGTTGCTATATAAATCATTTCTAAAAAAAATGATTGCTAGTTTCTTTAATAATGGATTTTTACAATTATAATCAAATTTTATAGTACGCTATTGAGTAGATCTTTTTAACAACTTTGTTTTGATTGGTTCATTTAGTTAAAGTAAATCATTAAAATTAATTAAGTTCTCAATATTTCAATTGTAGAATCTTTTCAAACAACAAAAGTTACTAGGAATNTAGAATCTTTTCAACAAACAACAAAAGTTCCTAGGAAATTATTACTATTACTTCTATTTAAGTTATCTATTACAATAAAAATGCAAAAAAATATTGAGCTTTTCTGATAAATTTACAATAAATAGTAATTATAAAACGATACAATTTTTTTAATTGTCATAAATTTTTTTATTTAATGATGTCAATGTCAAACTTGCCAATTGAGCTAAAAGTTATGGAAAAATAAATAATTTTTTTTTATTATAAAAATTTACAACAATCAACTTTAAACGATTAAAAAAATAGGTTAAATATGTCATTTTTCTTATTTTTAATATATTAATAATCAAAATCAGTATTAAATTAAAACAATTTTTTTTGTTCTTAATTATTTTTTTTTATATGTAAATACTATTTTTAATAATATTAAAACTTAAATGTGATAGAAATTGTCTAATTGCACATATGAAAACATCGCGAAATGTTGATTTACAATATTATATTTTTGTTTCTGATGAAAGTTCCTTGTAGTACAGTGTATAAAACTTATAACTTTGTTAAGTGTTAAATTTTATCAAAAATGACCAAATCAGTATAATTTTTTTTTATATAGATACATGTCTTTATCTATCATTTGGTTTTTTTTTCTATAAATCTAACCCTTTACCTGCCCACAAGAGGGATTCAAAATAATAACTTTTTTTTTTTTAGTTAAAGTAAATCATTAAAATTAATTTTTTTTTTAAGTTGAATTAAAATATGTATAATGACATACTAATAGTCCTCATTATTCGGAATTGAGATTTTTTTTTTTATAGCTTCGCAAAAGTTCAAAAATATGAGCTTTTTTAATTTTCTAAAAAAATATTTAACTTACAAAAAAAAGTTTCGTACAAAAGTTGTTTAAAAGACAATTATAAACAAAAAAATTATTTTATATTTTTTCATTTAAACAAACATTTTTCGAGTTACATTACATTTAATATGAGTACTAAAATTTATACTCCATTTATTTCATTTTACGGTTACTTTTTATCATGTTACACTTACGTTAGACACAATGTTATACGAGGTATGATCAAAAAATACCCGGACTGTGTTAATAATATTTATATTAATTAAGATAACGAAATCCCGATAATTTAATTCGATAAAGTAACTTCTAACGAGAATTTGGGCATTGGTTTGAAATCG